CGGTGGTAGGGGGGCCCGGGCCCTCCCTCTCCACCGGGCCCCGACCCAGGGCCCTAGTAGTGGCGGGTGGTTCCCACCGCTGGCTCGGAGGGGGCTCCTCCCCGCAACGCCCCGAGCCCTCAGGGGCTTCTACAGCTCCCTGCCCTGGGTCGCTTCCTACCCCCTGCTCGCAGCCTGCCGCGGTCCCACCTGTCGGCGTCGGTCGGTGGGCTGTAGTGGTCCTCCCCCTGGCAGCTGCAGAGTTGGCGGAGTCCGGTCCGGCACTCGGGTCGCGGGTGGTCGGTCGGTGGATCCGGCGTTGGGGCCGAGCCCTGCAGAGGCCCGGCAGCAGCACGCTCAGCTCCCCCGGCGACTCCCTCTCTGTCCAGTGGCCGCTAGCTCCTGCTCGGGTCGTAGTCTGCCCTTTCTGAGCAGGCCAGCAGCCTTTTATACCTTGGCTCCCTTTGGAGCATGCCCAGTAGGGCTGTGTGGGTGGGGCCCTCTCCGCCCCCGGCCCCAGGTGGTTTCCCTGGGCTTGAGTGCGGGGCGGGGCCGCCCCGTCACACCAGGCAATCTTGAATGAACTCACAGGAAAATGATAAAGACAAAAACACCACATCACCTAGGGATGAACATTTTTCACACTGCAATTTCTCTGAATCTGACCTATCTGTACTCACCCACAAAGGAAACCTGTACAACACTTTCAGAAGATGAGCCTGGGAGCTTAAATACATCACTTTGCGTGACACTAAAAATCATGGCTTATTAAACAAATATAACTCACTAACAAGCCCTCTCCCTCACCTTTCCATTCCCATCCCTTCCTTTTCCCCATATGACCGGAGGGATATTAAAGAGTCACTTCACTTTGAATGATCCTTTGAAATATGTATTAACTTCTTATGTTAAACTGTTCTATTTTTTAGCTAGCCGTGACACTGAACACATTTTCCAGACCTGAAGATTTCTGTGTAAACTCAAAATTTTGTCTTTCACCTACTCAATAAAGAGAGATTCTATTTTTGAACACACATTTTCTTTATTTTGTACATCAGGAAGGGGGGCTAATTCGAACTAGTTTTTAAGTCTAGCTGCGCTAATTCAAATTAGCTTAGTTTGAATTAACTAATTCGAATTAAGTTAGTTCGAATTAGCGCTGTAGTGTAGACATTCTCCTGGAGACAAACAATATGGCTACGTCTAGACTGGTATGATTTTCCACAAACGCTTTTAACAGAAAAGTTTTCCGTTAAAAGCATTTGTGGAAAAGAGCGTCTAGATTGGCATGGACACTTTTGCGCAAAAGCACTTTTTGGGGAAAAGCGTCCGTGCCAATCTAGACGCGCTTTTCCGCAAAAAAGCCCTGATCGCCATTTTCACGATCGGGGCTTTTTTGCGCAAAACAAATCTGAGCTGTCTACACTGGCCCTTTTGCGCAAAAGCTTTTGCCCGAACGGGAGCAGCATAGCATTTCCTCAAGAAGCACTGATTTCAGACAGTAGGAAGTCAGTGTTCTTGAGAAAATTCAAGCAGCCAGTGTAGACAGCTCGCAAGTTTTTCTGCAAAAGCAGCTGCTTTTGCGGAAAATCTTGCCAGTCTAGACACAGCCTATGTGTTTTAACAGAGCTAAATGCAAATGTACAAACCAAGGAACAAAGAATGAAGACCATATGTAAGAGATGGGGGACTATAGCCTAGGAAGCAGTGACTATGAAAAGGATTTGGGGACCATGAACAAGAGCTTCCACTGAGATGTGGCCAAAAAGATCCTTGGGTGCATAAACAAGAAGGATCTCTAAAAGGAGTAAATCAATTATTTCATCTCTGTATATGACAGCGGTTCAACCATTGCTGGAACACTATGCCCAATTCTGACAACCACAATTCCAAAAGGATGTTGATAAATTGAACAACAAATGGTCTGGTAGCATTTTATAGACTAACAAAACTATAAGTACTACCAGACCATTTGTTGTTTTTTTCTGTACAGACTAACTCGGCTACCCCCTGAAGCCATTGATAAATTGGAGAGGATTCAGAAAAGAGCCATGAGCAGAATTAAAGGGTTAGAAAATCTGACTTCAGGAAGAGATGTTAAAAGGTAACTTGATAAGTATCTATATGAGGAAGCAAATATTTAATTTTGGGCTCTTCATTCTATCAGAGAAAGGTAGAAAATGATCCAATAGCTAGAAGGTGAAACTGGACACATTCAGACTGGAAATAAGGCATATATTTTTAACTGTGAGAGTATTTGATCATTGGAACTACTTACCAAGAGTTGTGACGAAATCTTTATCACTGGTAGTTTTTAAACCATGCTTGAATCCTACATATGCTTCTGAAGGAAATCACACAGTCAGCATTTGTTTTGGGAAAGTTCAATGACCTGAGTTATATAGAAAATCAGACTAGATGGCCTTAGAATCCATGAATAAGATCATCTAATGTGACCTCATTATTTGTGTTTCATTGACAACTAGAGATCAGGGTCCCATTATGCTAGAGTTGGTATCATACAAACTTATAGCAAAGAAAAAGTTTCCCTGATCCTTTTTCCAATCTTTTTGCTTGCTTGTTGCATCCTGTCTTCAACCAAACTCAATGGTGCTCTGCACATGTGCAAGGAGGTGTCCATCTGCATGGAGCTCTGTTCAGATTCAGGAGCAGAACTGCCACACCACCAGTTCCCTCCATGTCCAGATAGGGTTGCCAGATACTTCCACAAAAAATACAGAACATGGCGGAAGAAAAATTGGCTGAGCAAAAAAAAAAAGGGACCAAACCTGCGAAAAAGCCAATGGATAAACATTAATTGAGAAAATAACAAACAAAATCATCACAATTGTTAGCCTCTACACTTCTCTCTTCCTCCCTCCACTATAAAGTAGTCCCTACAAGTCAGGGACAAAGCACATTGTTAGAGCAGCATGAAGGACCCGCTGTTCTGTGGATTGAGAACATAGGCATTCAGGTCTCTCAGCCCAACATGAACCCTAAATTCACACGTTCACTGGTGCCTGATGCTCAAAGGACTCAAAGAGCATATCTACACACTGCAATTAAATACCTGTTGGTGGCCTATGGGCTGCTTAATTGTGATGTTCGGGCTCAGGCTAAACCTAGACTCTAGTATCCTGTGAAGTGGAAAGATACCATTATCTGCACCTAGGGTTGCCAAATGGTTTAACCAAAAATATCGAACACCCACCCCCCCAAAAAAATGGGGAAAAAAATTGTTAAAAAAAAGGGGGGGGAGACCAAAGTTGTTGAATAAAAAAAAGGACCCAGAGAATTATTAAGCAAAAAAAAAAATTAAAAAATTAAAAAATCAGCATGGCCCCTTTAAGAACGGAAGGGGATGGACTCTGCCTCTCCTAACAGGCTGCTGGCAGCCAGTGGCCATCTTGCCTCCCTCACTGCTCCGGGCCAGACAGCTACACCGCAGAACAAGGTAAGAGGTGTAGGGAGGGGCTGGACCCGATTGCTGAGTGTGTGTAGGGTTGCCAGGTTTCCGGTATTGACCAAGACAGTCCAGTATTTTCGCCCCCTGGCTGGGAAAAAATCAGAAAATACCGGACATTTTGAGTATTTCTGAATTGTTTTACTGGACAGGAGCCGAAAATGCTGGACTGTCCGGGTCAATACTGGACACCTTGGAACCCTATCTCCACTGCAAATAAACAGCCTCTTAATCCAAGCCCTGCAAGCTCTATTGAACTAACCCTTACCAGCCATAGGCATGCTGCAGGTCTTTTATTGCAGTGTAGATGGACCATAAAAGCAGTATATTATAAAATAAGGTAACTCGCAAAAGGAATCTATGTTGCTTTGCTTCATCTGGTTTCTGTTAGTCCACAGAGCGCAGCTGCTGAGTTATTGCATTCTTCTTTGATGTCTTACATGAAAACATATTATTAAGTCCAGAGACACAGCTGACTGTTCTCTGCTTCCTGGTCAGCATTTCTAATCACCACAGCAACTCCCACAAATAGTCTCCTTAACCTCCAGGAACCGGCCTGATCATAATTGCAATAATTCTCTCTCTCCAGATGGAAAAGAAAGCCTTCCTTCATTAGACATGTGGCTTCTTCCCCGAGTTATGGTTGAGACAATTTAAACTGCCTTTGGAAACTGATTCTCGGGTGCTCTACAGCTCAGATTGCCAATAGGAGTCAGAAAGAGAAGAAAGACAGGAGTGATGGGATCTGATGAAAAAGAGACAAAAAGACCCTGCCTGTACTGGAAAGTTTCCATATAATCTAAGGTATGAATTTAAAATGAAATACTTACAACAGAATAAATCACCAGTATAACTGTTAGGGTTACCAGGTGGCCTCAAAAAAAATACCAGACACACTTGATCTCAGATGGTGGGGGGACTGGCCGGGAGGGAGGTGGGGCTGGCCAGGAGGAGGTGGGGGGGGAGGAGCCTGCCTGTACTGGAAAGTTTCCATATAATCTAAGGTATGAATTTAAAATGAAATACTTACAACAGAATAAATCACCAGTATAACTGTTAGGGTTACCAGGTGGCCTCAAAAAAAATACCAGACACACTTGATCTCAGATGGTGGGGGGACTGGCCGGGAGGGAGGTGGGGCTGGCCAGGAGGAGGTGGGGGGGGAGGAGGGTTGGCAGTGGGGGTCGGAGGAGCGGGGCTGGCTGGGAGGGAGCGAGAGAGGAAAGAATCAGCCGCCGGGAAGCGGGACTGACCTGGGCGCACACAGATCCCGGGGTGCTGCCTGTCCCGTGCATGGTCCAGGCGAAGCACAAGCAAGTCCGGCCCCAGAGATTCCATCCTGGACCCCCCTCTCCCCCCCACATAGTTGCATACTGCCTGGCTGGTAGACACGCCAGTGTAAGCATGTCTACTAGCCAGGCAGTACGCAATTACGTATTGATACTCCTGACAATAATAAAACTTACCTAATTAGAAAATATCGGACATTTTATATGTCTGTGGGAGGGAGCGAGAGAGGAAAGAATCAGCCGCCGGGAAGCGGGACTGACCTGGGCGCACACAGATCCCGGGGTGCTGCCTGTCCCGTGCATGGTCCAGGCGAAGCACAAGCAAGTCCGGCCCCAGAGATTCCATCCTGGACCCCCCTCTCCCCCCCACATAGTTGCATACTGCCTGGCTGGTAGACACGCCAGTGTAAGCATGTCTACTAGCCAGGCAGTACGCAATTACGTATTGATACTCCTGACAATAATAAAACTTACCTAATTAGAAAATATCGGACATTTTATATGTCTGGTATTTTCTCAATTTGTTTCCCGGACAGAACCCTCAAATACCAAATTGTCCGTTCAAAACCGGACACCTGGCAACCCTAATAACTTTACTTTCTGGACAAGGCCCAAGTTACACTTCTGATGTCAGCTGGGAGCATCAAGTAGTTTAACTTGCATTGATACAACATTCAGTAGATTTAAAAAACAAGTGATATTTGGGTGAAAGGGTCCAGATTCTGATCTCTTTTGAATGAGGAGCACCATTTAATTAATTATGTTAGTTTTGATTTGTACTGGTGTAGGTGAGGTCAGAATTTAGTTATGGGCAGGGCTTGACAAACGGTGGTGAAAGCCGCTCGCCAGCCCCGCATTGCGCATGCGCAAGAGCCGCATTGTTTGTTGAACTCTGGTTATGGGTGTGAAGAAAGCAAGTAAAATGCTGAAAAAATAAAGAGGACACATTAACTCTGCCAGCACCATCTGGTTTGTCACAAAGCCCAGAAACAAAAGGTCTAAGCTAGGCCCAATTTCTTCAAAAGTATCATCTAAGATGACAGTTGCAGTTTTGTATGCTATACATTTTAATGCACAGCTTTTGTGTGCCAAAAATTGGCAGTTAGGTGTCTTTTTGAGTATTTACTTATTTTATTTTAAAGATTCTATAAATACAGTGGCCAGGTATGAAATCTGTGATTTAACATACACAAAATAACTGAATGTTCAAAACTGTTCAACTTAACAAGCCAATTTAAACCCCATTTTAAAATGTGTCATGTATTTATTTTATTTTAATGTATATGTTTTTTATTTACTCCACCCTCAAAATAAGAAAACAAGTAAAGGAACGGGGTAGGAAGGAAGGGAAGGGAAGAAAGGGGGCATGATGGGGAAAGAAGAAGAATATCTTGGTTTTTATACGACCTGTAGCGTGTAGGTGCTAAGAAACAAATAATTCTATCTTGTAGAAATCTCCTAAATTAATGTTTCTGATTACATCTTTTTAAAAAATTCAATTATTTTCACCAAAAGATAAAATTATAAAAGCTGAAACTTTTCTGTTTCATCAAAAGATTTTCCAGAAGGATATCAATTTGGTTGAAACTTTATGACAATTGAAAGTTTCTGATATTTTGACATTTTTGTACATTTTGAAATTTCAAAACAAAACCAATACAAATGTCAAAAAATACCAGGAAATTCGATACTATTTCCCATTCCTTTTTTAACTGTTCTCATAACTGCTACGCTACAGCAGAAGTATCAAATGTAATGAGCCAGTTAATTCAAAGCCTTCTCAATTCACAATAAGAAATGAGACTGTAAAATAAATCCTAATACTCTCCCAGCCCTGTAATAGATAGGACAGGGTTCTCATGCCAATAACATCTGGAGCCCAAGCAGTCTCTCTGATTTTCCAGCTCTCAGCAAACAATGATTTCCTAAATAGCTCACAGAGGAAATTACTTCATTACCACCATGCAACAAATTCTCTTCCTGCAGCCAGACCACATCATGATGAGTTAACTGCTCTAGTACTTCTTTAAGCTACAAATGCAGAGTCATGAACCTATTCAAAAATAGAGGCATAAATTCCAATTAGTTCTTCCTCCTTTGGTGCAAGAGGCCAGAGGAGGAGGACACAGAACTTCTGTGCCACTACATTGTTTTAATAGAAAAAAGAATGTCTTCTGAGATATCTTAGTGGAACCCAATACGTCCATTCACATGGTTTCTGTAGCAATTCCGTTAGCTTCTTTAGTTATCACTAGCAGATGAATTTGGTATTGCTTGAGTCTTTCATTGAAGTAATTTTTTGGGGGTGAAATAAATGAAAAACGTACATGCTTTATTTCAATGAATGTATTTTTTAAAAATGAAAATGAAGAATGGAGTGAAGGTTAGGGGATAAGGAGAGGCAGGGGGTGGGTGGCTTAGGGCAGAGGGTTGGGAGATGTGGGAGGGAGGGAGGGGTAGGGGCCTCAGGGCTGAAGGATGGAGGTGGGGGGTTTAGAGGGAAGGAGGTAGGAGTGCAGAAGTTAAGGCAGGTGGGAGATGCAGGACTCAGGGCTGCACAAAAAAAGGCAGGGCTGTGCAGACCCAGAGAAAAGTTAACAAAACAAAACAAAAAAACCAAGCAGCCATGGGACGGTGTACCAGCACCTACTTTTCCCAACAACTGGGTCTTTTTTTTTGCTCAACAACATTCACACTGTCTCCACTGCTATTGTGGCTCTTTGTCTGGAACAACCCTGTCCTAGACAGACCCTTCCCATTCTATATCTGTGAAATGGATTCTTCCTTCCTAAGTGGAGTACTTTGTTTTTCTCCTTGTTCAACTTCATCCTATTTACCTCAGACCATTTCTCCAGTTTGTCCAGATCAATTTGAATTATGACCCTAGCCTCCAAAGCAGTTGCAACTCCTCCCAGCTTGGTATCATCTGCAAACTTAATAAGCGTACTCTCTATGCCAATATCTAAATCGTTGATGAAGATATTGAACAGAACCAGTCCCAAAACAGACCCCCGCAGAGCCCCACTTGTTATGCCCTTCCAGCAGTATTGTGAACTGTTAATAACTACTCTCTGAGAATGGTTATCCAGTCAGCTATGCACCCACCTTATAGTAGCCCCATCTAAAATGTATTTGCATAATTTATTGATAAGAAGATCATGCAAGACCGTATCAAATGCCGTAAGTCTAGGTATACCATGTCCAGCTATCTTATGCACAAGACTCGTTATCCTATCTTCTGGAATCTCTCCCATCTTCCATTATTTTTCAAAGATGATAGCTAAAGGTACAGATACCTCCTTTATCATCTTCTTGAGTATTCAAGGATGCATTTCATCAGGCAGACATCTAACTTTTCTAAGTAATTTTTAACTTGTTCTTTTTTTTATTTTATCTTCTAAACCTCCCCCACTCCCACTAACATTCACTATGTTAGGCATTCCTTCATCATCACACTTCTTGATGAAGAATGAAACAAAAAAGTTATTAAGCACCTCTGCTATTTCCAAATTTGCAGTTACTGTTTCTCCCGCCGCACTGAGTAATGGGCCTACCCTGTCCTTGGTCTTCCTCTTCCTTATAATACATTTATAGAAAGTCTTCTTGTTACCCTTTATGGGTATGTCTACACTACCACCGTAGTTCGAACTAGGGTGGTTAATGTAGGCAACCAAAGTTGCAAATGAAGCCCGGGATTTAAATATCCCGGGCTTCATTTGCATCTTGCCGGGCGCCGCAATTTTTAAAGCCCTGGCAGTTTGGACTCCGTGCTCGCGGCTACACGCGCCACGGAGTAGGTAGTTCGGATTAGGCTCTCTAATCCGAACTACCGTTACTCCTCATGGAACGAGGTGTACTGGTAGTTCGGATTAGAGAGCCTAATCCAAACTACCTACTCCGTGCTGCGAGTAGCCGCGGGCACGGAGTCCGAACTATCGGGGCTTTAAAAATGGCAGCGCGGTAAGATGCAAATGAAGCTTGGGATATTTAAATCTTGGGCTTCATTTGCAACTTCGGTTGCCTACATTAACCACCCGAGTTCAAACTAGGGTGGTAGTGTAGACATACCTCTCGGATATTTAAATCCCGGGCTTCATTTGCAACTTTGGTTGCCTACATTAACCACCCTAGTTCGAACTACGGTGGTAGTGTAGACATACCCTGAGATACCAACAATGTCATAGTTGTGTTTATTTATTAGCACTTCCTACTTATTACCCATGTTTCGTACATTTGCATATAGGCATCTACGATACTGATTTGACCTTGCCTCCCAGTTCTGCCATGTACCTCCTTTTTCTCTGCTATTATAGTCCATGCTCCCTCCCATTTCTGACCCATCTCCTAGGTCTCCATGTTCTTCACTTACCTGTGGGTTTTGGTCACCTGCCCCCATCAAACCTAGTTTAAAACACTCCTCACTAGGTTAGCCAGTCAGTGTCCAAATAGTCTCCTCCCCTTCCTCGAAAGGTGAACCCCATCCCTGCTTATCAGTCCTTGGAACAGCATCCCGTGGTCAAGGAAGCCAAAGCCCTCCTTGCAACACCATCTTCGCAGCCAGGCATTCACCTCCAGGATGCACCTGTCTCTGCCTGGGCTCGTACCTGTGACAGGGAGGACTGAGGAGGAAACCACCTGTGCTCCAAACTCCTTCACCCGTACTCCCAGAGCCCTGTAGTCACTCTTGATCTGCTGAGTGTCACAACTTGCAGTATCATTAGTGCCCACATGGATGAGTAGGAGTCAGAGGTTGGATAATCCTCAACCGTGCCTCCATAACATCTCAGATACAGGCCCCTGGCAGGCAGCATACCTCCAGAGATGACATGTCAGGGCGACAGATGGGCACCTCCGTTCCCCTCAGAAGAGAGTCTCCAACCACCACTAGGTGTTCTTCCTGAAGGCATTAAAGTCACTAGTTTTCTCTACCATTTCAGATGTTTTTTAATATTTTATTCTTAATTTTAGCCTTTGCCACACATTCTGAACTATCCTTTGGTTACCCAAGGTCAAGGTCAAGGAGTACATTGCCAGTGGTGTGAATGGAAAGGTATTGCTTGCTCTGAAGTTTTTACTTCTGTCCAGTTCCAGACACACGATACTGGATAAAATGGACCACTGGCCTAATTTTATTTGATAATTCCTATGTTCCTTAACATATGATTTCAATTTCCAGGACTTTCAAAAAATAGCCACCCTCCTTCTACCCTACATTCTACAGAATATTAAAGCTAAAAATAAAAAGCTCTAGAGATAGGTTTTATTATTGTCCTAACAGGAGACACAGTAATCAATTCACAGAAATGCTCAGCACAAGGAGTCGTTGCGGGAATTTGGGTCATTAGGTGAAAGAGTTTGAGAGATTAACATGCAACTTTTTTGAAGGGCACTTATATATCAACAAAGGAAAATTTCCCTCACTTAGGCCACAGTCCCGCACAGTACTTAGCATCTGCCTAACTTTATGTATTTGAATAATCTCTCATTTATGTTAGTGGAAGTGCTCACATGCCTAAAGCACGTTCTACTCTTAAGTACCTTGCTAAATCAGTGCCTTTCCAAAAAGTGACCTAAATAAGAAGTCTTATGGGAGGTCAGCATGGGAATTCCATATCAGGTAAGCTAGAAATCAGGGTAATAAATTAGGTCTGACTATGTAATAGTGTATCCTACCAGGACTGTAATAAGTCAGTCCTTCACAATAGTCATAGAAGAGTGCCAGAGGGGTAGCCATGCTAATCAGTCCCTTCCCTGTTGTATATCCCCCAAATAAAAATGACAGTTGTTCTTTCAAACAAAAAAGGCTTCTTTCTTTGGTCTGCAAGGGAGGAAGGAAGGTGGAAAGAGAGGGCAGGGGAAGGGAGGAGTTGGGGAGGAAAGGCACAAATGGGCAATGCAGAGGTCCCTTGTGGAGAAGCTTGGGAGAGAGTCTCACAACTGGCCTTACATTAAACTCTCCTTCAAGGCCTCTCTGATGAGCACAACCTCTTGATGTACTCTTTCTATGGCACTGGTGTTGGGTTGCTCAAATTCTCTGGCCAGACATTCAGCTTCAGCACCTGCCCAGGCAGAAAAATCTCCCCTTTGCTTTTGCAAAGGATGTGGAGCACATAGCAGGCCACCACCACAAAAGGGATATTGCACTTGCTGAGGTCCAGGCGTGTGAGGAGACTCCTGAACTTCCCCTTTAAACGGCTGAATGCACATTCAACAACCATGTGGCACCTGCTCCTTGCTGGGGTCCAGGCTGCTTGTGTAGGGCTTCATGAGTCAGGGAAACTAGGGTAGGCTGCGTCATCCAGAATGATGATGGGCATGTCCACTTTCCCAACTCTTATGGTGCGATTGGGGAAAAAAATACCAGCATGCATCTTTTGGAACAGACAAGAGTTCTGGAAGATGCAGGTGTTGTGCGCCGTTCCCAACCATCTGACATTGATGTTGGTGAGCTGACATTGATGTTGGTGATCCACAAGGGCTGGCAGCACCATGGAGAAGTACCCCTTCCTGTTGATAAAGTCCGAGGCACTATGGTCAGGGACCAGGATGGGGAAGTGCATGCTGTCTATGCCCTCTCTCCCCCAGAGTTGGGGAAGCCCATGATGGCAAAGCCATTCATGATTGTGTTGACATTGCCCAGAATGTCGACATTCCATAGCAGCACGTGATTGATGGCTACGGCCCTAGCTCCTGCTAGCTCTCCCGCCGGAGCTGCAGGTCTTCATGTACCCAGTGCTCCAGGATGCAGACCTGCCTTTGCAGGATCCCCAGGTGCTGCAGCTGGTACTCCTGCTTCCGGGTCACCCTGCTGGCCCAGGTGCAGGAGGCTGTCCTGGGCGGTGTGGTGTGCCATGCACTGTCAGCTGCTGTGGAGAAACAAGAGAAGTGGTCAGTTATCACACAGTGGGTGAAGCCCAGCCCCCCTCTGCAAGGCGAGGTCGGCTGGTCTCCGCACCATCAGAGCTGATGTGCTTGCACACAGGCCATGTTTGGCATGTCCTGCTATCCCCGGGCGTGTGAGCAGGCCCGGGACTGCACCCATGCCCCTGTGCTGTATATAGTGTGGGGGTATAGGGGAGGGGCGATATGCCCTGCCTTTGCGTAGAGGGGGCTTGTGGAGGGAGGTCATCGTGCACCGGGGTCAGGAGCATGTCATGTGCCTTCATACATACACACGTGTGGCAGCCAGCCGGGCCACATGCCCAGGATGGCACAGCACATGCACAGGTTGCTGCAAGCTCCGTGGTCAGCGAGGCCCATATGTGCAGTCCCTGGTCTCCCTCTCCCCCCGTCCCTGCCCCGCATAAGGGGACAGTGATTGTACTCATATGTCGAGGCCTCCCCAGCCTCAGATGACACCGGCAACATGGCTGCTGTGATGCCAAGGGAGTGCTGCAACTCTTGACCATTGTCCTCCTCCTCTTCCATGCCCTGGTCAGGGCCCTCTGCCCCAGGGTCGATGACCACCTGGGGGGGCACGGACCGTCTGATCCCCCAGGATGCGGTCCCGGGCATCATAATAGGGGCAGCAGTCTGGGTCAGCCCCTGGTTGGGAGCTGCCCCCTGAGGCCCTGGCTGTTATTTCGAAATAACTTTGCTGTGTAGACATACCCTGACAGCTTACTTTGCTTAAGAGCCATTGGTGAGGGACCGTGTCAAAAGCTTTTTGGAAATCTAAGTATACTATATCTACTGGATCCTCTTGTCCATATGCTTGTTTATCCCCTCAAAGAATTCTAGTAGATTGGTGAGGCACCATTTTCCTTTACAGAAACCATACTGACTTTTCCCCTAACAAATTATGTTCATCTATGTGTCTGACAATTCTGTTCTTATCCATAGTTTTAACTAATTTGACTGGTACTGAGGTTAGACTTACTGATCTGTAATTTCCAGTATCACCTCTAGAGCCCTTTTTAAAAATTGATGGCACATTAGCTATTCTCTAGTCATTAAGTACAGACGATGATTTAAAAGATAGGTTACAAACCACAGTTAGTAGTTCTGCAATTTCACATTTCAGTTCTTTCAAATTATTGGGTGAATGCCATCTCGTCCTGGTTGAAACAAAATACAGGACTATCTCGTCCTGGTGACTTGTTACTGTTTAATTGATCAATTAGTTCCAAACCCTCCTCTAATGATACCTCAGTCTGAGACAGTTTCTCAGATTTGTCACCTAAAAGAATGGCTCAGATTTGGGAACCTTCCTCACATCCTCATCCATGAAGACTGATGCAAAAAATTATTTTTATTTCTCCACAAGTATTTTTGACCTTTGAATGCTCCTTTAGCATCTCAATTGTCCAATGGCTCCACTGGTTATTTAGCAGGTTTTCTGTTTCTGATGTACAGGTTGGACCTCCCTCGTCTTGCACCGTCAGGACCTGACCAGCCCTGAACAAAAGAATTTGCTGGCCCAGGGATGGTCTTTTGCCACCAGCCCCAAGCCCCATCGCCTGCCACTGCCAGGCTACCCCATCAAGCACTCTGCCTCACCTACCTCTCTCCAACCTGCCTGGGCTGCTTGCCAAGCTGCTGCCGGCTCCCTGGGCTGCACAGGCTCACTCCTGCTGTGTGGTTCGAGCCCCACACATCCAGGGACAATGGTGAGGCTCCGGGCCTGGCTCCACACTCCAGTGGGCTGCTGCGGGACTCCAGCCTTTGTCCCCCAGATGAGCTGCTGACTCTGTTGCCCCTGCCCAGCTGTCCTTCCTGCCCTTAGGCTCCCAAGCTCTTTGCTCCAGAAGCACCTGTGATCCTGCCGGATGAGGGTTATTGCTGGACCAAAGAGTGCCCATTTTTAGAGGTACAACCTTTACTGCCAATGGTCAAAATTTTCCAGTTGGGCTGCCTAAAGTTAGACATCTAAATAAAATTGGGTGGCGTCTTGAGTACTGAAACATACAAACAACTCCCATTGAAGTTAAGAGGCCTGAAAGTCTTTTGCATCTAGGTAAATCAGGCCATATTTATGTAAGTGTCTAAACAGGGATTTAAATGCCTAATCTCTGGGTATGTCTACACTACAAAGTTAGTTCGAACTAACTTTCATAGGCGCTACACTAGCGCTCCGTTAGTTCAAATTTAATTCGAACTAAGGGAGCGCTTAGTTCGAACTAGGTAAACCTCATTCCACGAGGATTAAGCCTAGTTCGAACTTACTAGTTCGAATTAGGGGGTGTGTAGCCCCTTAATTCGAACTAGTGGGAGGCTAGCCCTCCCCAGCTTTCCCTGGTGGCCACTCTGGCCAACACCAGGGAAACTCTACTGCCCCCCTCCCGGCCCCGGAT